CATCATACTAACTTTGAATACAATTATAGTCACTAAAACGTAACAAAGTCGTTTTTTATCCATCATTTTCCGAGAATTAATATTATTGATTTTTTTCCTCTCATTATTATGTGGTGTGAGTGGGAGAAAACAATGTTGTGCGTGCATATCTACTTCAAATGAGTGACCAATTTTTTTAGGTGGCCTTTTGAAATAATTACAATCAATCTTATCTTTTTCTAAGTGAATTTTACTTCTTAACAAAAACTTATAATTTTGAACACTAACATTCGCTTTTAGCCTTTCAAAAAAAGCATTCGTGCTTTTAGAGTTCAAACTTTCCTTACGAGATACTCCGTACTTATCTAGGCTTTAGAGTTAAAACTTTCTTTACGAGATACTCCGTACTAGGGGTGGTCTCGGGCCGGACCGGGCCCGGTTCGGGCCTTGAACCGGCCGGGCCCCGGTTCACCAAATGCTAGGCCCGGACCCGAACCGGCGGTGACCGGTTCCGGGCCGGTTCACCCGCCCAACTATTTTTTATTTTATTTTTTGGCTTCTTTTATTTAACCCCCTACCCCTTCTCCTCAACCCCAAACCACCTCAAATGGCCCAAAGTACCTAATCCAACCCAAAACTTAAAAATTTTCAAAAAAAATAATAATAATTCCGGCCCGAACCGGGCCCGAACCGGCCGGGCCGGTTCACCATATGCAGGGCCCGGGCTCGGAACCGGAAACCGCCGGGCCGGTTCGACCCGAACCGTCGGTGGACCGGGCCACCGGGCCGGGCCGGTTGCTACAGTGGCCGGACCGGGCCGCTTCCGGGTCGGGCCGCCCGGCCCGAGTCCAGCCCTACTCCGTACTTATCTAGGCTCGGATTGAACTTCTCCATTTGACTCAGAGACAGATCTTTTATACGAGATATATTCAATAGAATTTCCTTACAACATGAACTGTTCCACACTTCCACTTTGCCAATTCACGAGCTCAAGCTTAAAGTAGGGGTGCACCGCCTCCTCCATATCCCATTTTCACACATGAATAGTTGTGACTTGTGATTTGAAATTGAAATTTGTGATTTGTGATGCAATTAAGTAAATTTACAATGAATGTGGTATATAAAGAAGAGTGATGCAATTCAGTAAATTTACAATGAATGTGGTCTGGTATACTCCATAAAGGAGAGGACAACAATTTGTAATTTTCCTTGGCAGTCTAATGAATTTATATGCACATCTTTTCAATTGCATGATGTTTTACGTTTAATGTTTACAATTCGTTTCTTAATTTTTCATTATAATGGCATCTCATTTTATATTCCATTTCAGTTCATGGCAGCCCTATCAGGATTTTTTTGATATTTACTCCGTATATAATTGCATCTAAATGGTTACTATGTGAGCATCTCACCCCGTCTAACGCACGGGTTGGATAACTAGTACTACCTCCATCCCACTATGTTTGGGATAAAAGGGTGTGACACAACTTTTAAGAAAATTTGGAATTGTGTGGTTGATATTGAATTGATAAAGTACGAATCAAGTAAGAATGAAATGTAACCACCCAAATATTACCAAATATGGTATGAGACAAATTTCATGGGACAGATGAAAAAGGTAGAACGAGACAAAGTTAGGGGACATAGAGAGTACTATACTATCATACTACATAGCAAATTGTGCAGTCCAATAGGTACTGTGTGGTGCATTTCACAAGATTAAAGCAGCAATAGCATCAAGATAACTTTGTAGTTTGTAACTTTGTAGTTTGTATGTAATATACTCCGTACTTCGCATTTAATACGGAGTATAATAAATAAATAAATAAATAAAATATCAAATTCCTAATAAATGTCTCAAATGCTTGATTTAATAAAAACAATGTAAAATGCATAAATGACTCTTAAATCTATTATTCTAGTCCTTATTGTATTCAATGCATTTTGATCAAGTCCTATTAGTTTCCGTTAGTTTTGGCTGTTTATGGTCAAACATTCCATCTTTATTAAATTTTATAATACCTATATTTTATTTGAATTACAGTTACGGCGGATTCTTTAATTGAATTTCTTAGGGAAAACTGTCAAATAGGTCCTCGAACTTTCATAAAAAGGTCAATTAAGTTCTTCTATAGGAGGTTCTGTACGGCCGTCGCGATTTGGGGCAGTTCCCGGTGGAATTTTTTTATGAAATTTTTTGAGCATCTTATTCCCCAAGTCTAGTTTACTCATACCAAATTTCAACTAAAAATTCAATTGGGAAAACATTCAAATTAATTCTTGAAGATAACTGCGCATTTTTGCGTTCTCGAATTAATTTGAATGCCCCCCGATTAAATTTTTAGCTGAAATTTGGTATGAGTAAACTAGACTTGATGAATACGATGCTCAAAAAATTTCATCTAAAAATTCCACCGGGAACTGCCCCAAATCGCGACGACCGAATATAGTCTTCTATTGAAGGACTTAATTGATTTTTTTATGAAAGTTCGAGGACCTATTTGACAGTTTTCCCAATTTCTTAGCAGTGGTGGCAATTTTTTTAATTGAGTTTCTTAGTAGCACCGAGACGAAGGATAGTGTATTCAATGAGTTCTTTGACTCTGTTGCTCACCGTAAAGTTAATAGCCTCCAAAGAGCCCACCATAGTTTTAATGTCCCAAAGATACTTAACAATTGTTTGGGTGTCCTACTTGACATGGGAGAGAATCTTGTAAAGCTCCATGGAACAAGCAAGGTTGGCTGACATGAACCAATTTGAAGGCACCAAATTTGATGTGAGAATTTTAAGTCATGGACTTCAATAAGTGTATCCCTTGATAAGGTATCAAAAACCCATGAATGAACAATTTGATCAATCTTCGACCGATGATGGTGATCCGGATTAACTACATCCTAGCGAGATGCATCAAAAACGTATGGAGAGGGAACCAAGACAGAGACATCCAAAATACCAAGTAGGTTGTGTGAGAAGAGGAATGAGTCGACCTATCATTTTCCACCATAACTTAATCACCTTTAACCTATTATACTTGCACCCATTATGGTGACGTAAGTCACTTAAAATTTGTACATTCTCTCTCCATATTTTTGGTATATTCCACCATTATTAATTTATATAATTTCAAAAAGGAATATAAAATTGGCATTTGACTCACTATCATTATTTATTGTTGGCATTGTATCTAGGCAGAGAACGAGTTGGATCCATTTTCAGAGGAAAAATATTCTAAAACAGATAAACTAAAATGCAAGAGGAAAAGAAGTGATAAATTTCAAAGTAAATAAATATATCTTCATTGATGTCTATGTATAGAGAGTGAAAAATCTAATTTCATGATATAATTTTTTTATTATTGTAATTTAAATTTAATGAATAATAAATGAAATCAAGGAGTATGGGGTAGTTGATGGGATTGATTGAAAATAAAATACCATTTGGATTTTTCTAATCGGTTGGTCACAAAGCACATGTCAGCTTCCATTTGTGACCTCCTTTCTTGATCTTTCACTTTGTGATCTCCCATAGTGGGGATCAAATGGGGTTAATTTTTTTTTTATCCCCAATTGACCTCCCACACTGGGTGCCCTCAACCACAATCAAACAAGTTGTCACAATATTGGTGACATTAGGAGTAGAAAATGTCATTTGGGATGCAAGACTAGACATAAATGAGGCATACTGAGCAAAGCCCGGAAGATGACCGAATTGTGGAGTTCCCAAAGGCATTGTGCCCGGTTGATCAGCGACTGTATGGCTACATAAAGGAGGTGACGTGCAAGACTGGATTGCATCAAGGTGACGTCCATGTAAATGGCACCGACATGTAGAATAATAAAGTAAAAGATACATGAAGGTGTGACCAATAGGGCTGACCGTGGAAACCGACTAGGGGCTAGATCGGTCCAACAAGGATTATATTTTCGCTAAACCCGGAAACTACCCGTAAGATATTATATTTTGAAAATTAGGGACCAAAATAAGGCTAGCTATATTTGGTCCGAGTCGGGTTTTTGTAGTTGGGTTCGGTCCGGATTTGAGTAGGGCCGATTAAAACCTACATGACAAATCATCACCTTTTACTTTTATATTTTAAAACTTACTTTCAAACAAATTACTCAAAAATGCAAATTATAATTAATAAGACAAATATTAGTCTTATTATTATTACTATAAAAAAGACAAATTAGTCTCCAGCATCACCTACAACTCAAATTCAAACACAATAATTTATCTTAATTTTACGTTTAGGGTACTTTAAAATGTGACTAGAGTTACTAAAAATAAGTTTTTAATGATCAATGCGGCATACCAACACTAGCTATCTATCGCTAAGAACTACTCCGTAATATATATTCCAGGACATAAAAATACTTTCACTATTAATAAAGGACGTGAAAAATAAAGTATGTCCATATAATATTTGAATGTCTGGAAACCATCAATTATCAAATCAAAGACTTAAAATATTATATATCTTGATTTTATATACTTCGTATCAATTCTATTAAAGTTTACTACTTTAATAAGATTAAATAATATTTATTTATTTTTTAATTCAAAACATTAAAATTCATTGAACTGGTCTTGGATTGATAATTTTCGATCATTCGAATCCTATATCGAGACACTTTATTTTTCAGGTTTCATATTGATAGTAAACATTTTTTTCAGGTCCCTTATTAACAGTGAACGTTCTTTCGGATCATGATAAAATTTTTATTTAATACAAATAGTAATTACTAATGTCAGCCTACCAAATCACGACGGACGGACAGAATCTCCTATAAAAGAACTTTTTTTAGGATAATATAAAAGAACTTAATTAACTTTTTTTTTATGAAAGTTCCAAAATCTATTTGACAGTTCCCTTATCAAAATTTGACTTAGAGAGTTTTCCAAAAAAAAAAATTGACTTAAAGTATCCGACTTAAAATTCCTTGTGATTTGTTTTTAATCGAATGGTCGGTGGATAACTATTTTTTCCTTTAACAAGTTCCTTCTGATTTACACCTGCCACTCCCGAATCGAGTGCTGCTTTCCACTCCCCAATCACCAGATTCACCACCACCCTGTATCCATTTTCACAACTCGTTCCAGTTAGCTTCCTTCCCTCCCAGTCTCCCAATTACCAGCCACTTCAATTTACTCGGATTCCTCCCCCATTCATCCTCTTCTACTCCTCCCAATCGCATAAACCACTCCTCAACCTCTCCGTTCCTCTTCATAGTCATTTAGTCACTTTCTTTTAGGAGCGCTGCTCGTACAGATCTCAATCAAACCAGACCCATCCTTGTTGATCTGGGTAGACTTAATTACGAAAAACTCTTATCCACTTCAGTTCTCCCACCCGATCTGGATCTCACAGAGGAAGATCACCATTTCCAGTTTTTTCTCATCACAGGTCTTGCAGTGAATGAGATCCAACAGATCCTTGATAGGTAAAATTTTTTGCTTAGTTTCCCGATTTTTATTTAACTTTGAAAGGCTAATTCTACTTATGTTGCATGTATCGTTTGTATTCTCCTCTACATGAATATGTATTTTCATTTGCATTGTATGTATTAGTGTATGTATGCAAGTATGTATATACAAATGTAAGCTCCCAATAAACTGTTATGCCTGAGCTTTTACTTCTAACACTCCATATGTTTTCACTTGATTGGTTCCAGACTTCCAGTCAAAGGCGGAATCAGAACGAAACCCATTTATGTAGCAATAAATGTACTTGTTTTATTGTTCATGATTTTATTTCTATTACGGAATAATGTTTATAAGCCATGTTGTAGTAAAATTTACTCAATATTGACCTTAACATCAAAAGGCTTTTATCCATTTGAATTTAATCATTGTCTAATCTATAATGATAGTCTGTTGAGTTTTATTTAATAAATCTTTTTGCATAATATGTGCATGCCCTGTGTATCTTGAAAAAGTGAACCTATGTTATTAGAGAATACACTCTGTTTTGTCAACTAAATTAGACACTTTTGTTAATATTGGAATACTGGAATGCTTATACTTCATCAGAGAGTATACTCTGTTTTGAAAGAATTGAATTCCAAATTATTTTAAGAAGGTCATCCTTGAAAATCAGTCACCTATTTTATCTCAAGAGAAATATACATGTATATGATCCATTGATCCGATTATAATATTAGTCTCTCTTAGACTCTCTTCATATGCATTGTAGCCCGTTTTGCAGATTTCCTCTAAACTATAACTCCAGAGTGACCAAGTCCCACATAGTTACAGTTGGTCATTTGGTCATGACCACATAAACCTTTCTTCAAAAATTTCACTTTTGGTTACAAACATGAAAAAAATGTTGGTATTCCGCACATTTTTTTATGTAGGCTCATTGCCTCATTGGCATAAATTTTCATAATATTTTGACATAACGAGAAATCGAGAATCCATTATCTTTTGAAAAAATTTTATACCTTTGGTTTGTGAATTAAAAGGTCACATTTAGGAAGTGTTAGAAAATAAAAAAAATTAAATGGGGTATAATTACATAAACCTTATATGGACAAACCATTCTTGTTCCTGCTTAATCAAGCCCTGCATCTCATATTTATCATGTGTTCTACTGTTCACATAAATGAAGCAGGCTTGATACTTTATTTATGCGATTTAAATTTAAGAAAATTGGGGTGATGTATGATGCGTGAAAAATTCATCACTAGACGCCCATTGATAAAAGTGTAGTGGAGGACTGGATTTAAGCTATCCATTTAAATAAAAACACAATCCATTTAAGTAAAAATACAAATATAGAAATTTTACACCGGAATTAAACAGCCAGCTGTTTTTTTATTAATTTTGGCATCCCATCAGGCAAAGCCAAGCAAATTGGCTGAAAAATCTTATCTTGGTGAAACAATGATTTTTCCTTCATTGTTTGGGCTTGGATGAAGGTTTCTGCACGCCTATTGAGATGTTTTCATCAGAGAATTATTGTTGTACTTTACCTTATTTCATTTAAATTTTAAAATTTCTCAATGTTCACTATTTATCAGTTTGTTTATCTTTTACAGTTGTAAGCATCAATTGGGAGCTTCAATAACTATCAACAGCTCCATCAGACATAAGCTGTTGATAGTTATTAGCCTTTATGCACTCGATTCCAGCATCAAACTCTGCTCAACCTCAACACAGTTTGACAGAGTTCTTTAGTGAAGAGGCCTTTTACGATGTTCAGGCGTACAGCATAATAGCATAGAGATATTTAGGCGGGGATACTGTACAAAAAACCTTTTCTTTTATATAGTAATAGTAATAATAGATAATAGATAATAGATAATGCTAAATATATCCTAAAGTTTAAACAATTTCTGCCTGTTAACACTTACTAAACAGGCATTAACACAAATCTATTGAGTTTGAGCCAATCATTAACACAAATTATTTCCTTGCAGTTTTCATCTCTGTATATAATGCATAAATTGGAGATCAATCGGACCTTTCGGAACCCAATTAGCGCCGGTGGGATGAATTTTCCGTTGGCATCGCACCATCGGCGTGGACTTAGCTGCACTGCAACATCCAATGGTGAATCCTTCGACGACTCCTTGGATCTCTTTTCGAGAGGTCGTCGCAGCATCTCCGTTGCTTCCTCTGAGGATTCAGATGGTACAGCTCTATGTTTTCATGTGTGTTTGAACATGTCTGAATGCAGTATAGATGCTTAATCACTATGGTGCATAATTGGTTTATTTTTGGTAAAGCTTATGATTGTACTGTATTACAATTTTGTAATTGATGATCACGAATATATGTCCTGATTAGTTTTTGGATCTATTACTGTATTAGCATGTGTCCACAAAAATATGTGAATTAATAAATAGTAAACTAAACCGGTTACAAAACAAAGTGTACCTAAGAGTGAGTGATTAGTAATTTTTATGGCACAAATAATAGAGAATAATTAAATCTTGAGATCTATATTTATGTTTTAATTTTGACGCCTTTTGGTTGCTTCACAAGAACAGTTTCAGTAAAACTGGGGAGGCTGTCCGTTGGATCAGGGACAGTGGGGAAGAATGGATCGGACGATCTATTGTCATCTTCTGAAGAAGGAAAGCATGATTATGATTGGTAAGCATCACCGTTTAGAGCTTCATCTTTGCAGCACTTATTGGTTCAAACGCTATAAATGATGTGGTAGTTTTGGTGTATAGCTCTATGTTCACCTAGTGATGAGCAATGAGACAATAATCATAAACTCATAATTAGTTTACCTGATCGTAAATGAAATCAATTAAACAAAATTTAATTCCAGTGACTATTAGTTTTCTCAAGCAAATGCTCTTGCCTTTTCATGTAAACAGGCTTCTAACTCCTCCAGGAACTCCACTTGTTCCTTCATCCAATGGAAATGAATCTCAACCAACACAAGTGGCTCTGCATTCAAGAAGTCGCTCTTTGGCCAGATCAGCTTCTGCAACTAAGCCATCAAGGGTAAGATCTCTATTAGTAAATACAAAAAGGAGGGATTGATATGGTCATCACCGGAGAGTGTTCTTTAACTGTTTGCATCATAAAATAATTTTATTGACAAATTGCTTCTCAAAATCATTGCATCTCAGCTTTCGGTGTCTCAGTCAGAGAACAGTAGTCAGCCAACAAGGCCAATTCGCAGCTCCTCTGTAACCCGCCCTTCTACCCATTCAAACAAATCTAGTAACAGTAGTATTTTGAACACAAGCTCTTCTTCAATTTCTTCTTATATTCGACAATCCACTCCCACACGCGGTTCATCTTATTCTACCAGACCTTCCGCCACCCCTACTTCTCGCCCAACACTGTCAAGACCTTCAACTCCTCCTAGACAATCACAAAGCTCAAGACCTTCCACTCCAAGTGCATCCAGGCCTCAAATTTCTTCATCATTGAGTACCTCTACTTCTCGGTCTACATCATCAAGACCATCAACACCTACGCGTCGAAATTCCTTCCCTTCTGTTTCTCCAGCACCCTCTTTGCGCACAGTTAACAATGGATGGAATGCAGGGTCAATGTCTCGCCCAAGCTCCCCTTCTAGAACAACATCCTCAATATCACGCCCAAGCTCCCCTGCTAGAACAACATCCTCAGTATCACGCCCAAGCTCCCCTGCTAGGACAACATCCTCAGTATCACGCCCAAGCTCCCCTGGCCCACCGGTTCGGCGGGCACCTCAACCAATAGTTCCCCCAGATTTTTCACTTGAAACGCCTTCGAATTTGCGAACTTCATTGCTAGACAGGCCACCGTCAGCTGGTAGGTCTAGACCTGGTGTCCCCGTTTCTTCTGCAAAGGGGGCTATGGACATTCCAAATGCAGGAACTCCAACAAGGCGGCAGTCACCCTCCGGAAGAGGGCGTGTAGTTGCAAATGGGAATTTAATTGATTCACTTGATTCTAGCAAAGTTTCAATTGTCTCAAAGTTACCTCAGAGGAAACCAGTTAAGACACAAACAGAAAGCACAGGGTTTGGAGGGACCATCTCAAAGAAATCTCTGGACATGGCTATTAGGCATATGGTAAGCAGAATCTCTGTTTTTTTTTTTTTTACAATTTATATAGATCTACGAATATTGTGAAAGTTAGTGTGAGAAAAAAATGTAGATAATAAACTGAAAAAGTTGTACCAAGTGGCCCGAGATATGATAGAAATTCAACTTGTGTATTGAAGAATAGCAAGGTCTCACTAAGCTAGTGTAGTAAGAAACGTCAACTTATTTAATTTTTTCATATTATGTTCCATTATCATGAAACATTCTCTTCTACCAAATAAATTCAATCACCTGAAAGATGTAGATTATTTTGCAGGATATAAGAAACGGCCCGAATAGTGTACGTGCGGTTTCAGGCTCAACACTCTTCCCTCATAGCATTCGATCAAGTGGTGCTAAAAAACTGCAGCAGGCACAAGGTTCAAATTCTTTGGCTTCTCCAAATGCAAGTATGAATATCATCAACGGATCCATCATAGAAAGAGGAAATAATACCAGCAGTAGGCCTTCAGAGAATAAAGGCGAAGAAGAAAGGTATGAACGATCTTCGTCAGCAAGAGTGACAGATGTTGACATATACGAGAGTTCTCGCTATGACATGCTTCTATTGAAAGAGGATGTGAAGAACACTAATTGGTTGCACAGTATTGACGACAAGTCTGATGCCACCATGTTTGACAATGGTTTTGAACCCCTCCCTGAGCCTTTTGATCCTCTACTTTTATAACCCGATCGAAATTCTCATGGACTAGTAATTCTTTGTTTTCACTTTTCATGTTAAAATCTCTTAAAATCAAATGAAGTAATTTCCATGATTCGCCTAATTTATTGATGTAATTAGTAGCCCTGTAAACGTGGGGGAAATGAAAGTACTGATGTTCAGGGCAGCGTCCGAATTGACAATGCCTTTTTTGCATTGTCTTAATGTATGGTTTATCTTGGTGTTTAAGCACTGAGCCTCTAGAGAGAGGATGGTTCAAGATTTCGAAGCGTTACTTTGGAGTTGTAACTTTAATTCTAAGAGAAATGATTTAAATTTTAGTGATTGCATTTGGAAGCAATTTTTTTTTTTACTTAATGCAGTGTCTATATGGTGCGTAACTATAACCGTGTAACCGTGTTGATTATTAATGGTTGGCAAGACAAGTTAAATCTATTTTTTTGTTTTTGAAATTTCAATCACACTCTAAGAAAAAGATAGCGCTCAATTGGATGTCTCTTTCAATGGTTGCTCAAAACGATGATCAGGACAATTTTTGCTCAATTGAGTTTTCTTTGTTGGTTGGTCCCCCAAACCCCTCGGAAACACCCAACCCAACTAAACCTAGCCCAAATCCAAAAACAAAAAAGGCCCAAACCGGAACCAGCCCGGATAGGCAGCAGTTCCGGTCCGGGCTAGTTCCGGTTCAATGTTATTTTTTTTATTTTCTTTTGCTTTTCTAATCAACCACTGGCCCCACCCCCCTTCACCCCCCAAAACACCCAACTTAGCCCGGGAGAAACAAAAAAAATGAAAAAAAAACAGACCCGGACTGGCCGGTTCCACTTTTAGAGGCCCAAGCCCGCCCCTTTTAATTCCCGGTTTGGGTGGCCCGGACCGGTCCTATGACCGGGTACTGGGCCGGGCCAAAACAGTACCGGTCCGGGCAGCCCGACCCTAGTCCAGTCAGTCCGCCCCTACCGGGGGCCAGGCCTTGGCCCGGAACCGGTTTCTCGGGCCGGGCCAGTTCTAAACAGTACCGGGCCGGTTCCCAGCCGGGGCCCCAAACTGAGTTCATCCCTATTGTTGGTTGCTCGCCAAATCAATTATCCTTTTTCGTTGACAAGTGAAGTCGAATCTTTTTGTTGTAATTTTTTATTTTCGGTTTGGAGTAACAAAAAGAGCAATAAGCCTATTAGACTAGATTCCATATTGTGGGGTTAACAATTTAAAAGGATTCATTGGATCTATTTCTCATTCCGTTGTAGCTTTAAGTTTTTCATTCGCTTGTATCTTTGCTACCATTTAAAGAATAAATTTGTTATTTGATTTAAAAAAGGCTATAACCGTGTTGGTAATAAACACATATATTCTTAAAGCACCCAATAACATATACGAAGTACGTAGTATAGGCGTGAACCCGATCTGGTGGTCCGGAACCGGGTGTGGCACTGTTTGAGATCGGACCGAGTCCGAAAAATTTCGTACGGGCTTGAGACTGCCCATAGTTTGCGCAAGCGTGTTACCTAGTCCTGTAGCAGACAGTTCTGGTCTTGACTCCGCTCTGAACCGACCAATTTTTTTGTGTGACTTGGAATTTGGAAACAATAAAACAGAAAAACATATAATGAGACCGGGTCCGAATGGGAACCAGACCGTTCAAGTACCGGCCCATACTCAATTTAACTGGATCAGACCTTGAATATGTTTGGGGCCGACCAGGGCTGAAACCAGATCAACCGGTTCGGGACCAAACAGAGACTGGGTCTGGGTCCACCGTAATCACATAAAACGAGTCCAATTTTATCAAAGTACATTTTTAAGTTTCGCAAAGAGGAACAAGTTATTATTTTTATCATTAAAAGAGGAACAAGTTATTGGTATTGACGTATTGCAAATAAGAAATCATAATGCAGACCTAAAATATACAAAAGCACACAATAATATAATGTGTTTAGCATTAGTATATGTTATTGGATACTTGGGTGCTTTAAGAATATGTGTGGTTATTATACAACCAAAGCAGTGAAGCTCACAACATAATTTGTTTAGTAAGCAAATACTATCACAACATATGGGAGGCATTTCAGCTCCACCAAGCATTTCAGTAAACACTTCGGTATCTCCTTTTTTTTTTTTGAAGAGATTTTTATTCCTAGATGGCTAGAAGGCTAGAAAGAATGCATTTCTAATTTAACTTTAACATTTAATTTAAGTAAGATTCTTAATTCATACTATCGTATAATTGGTTTAACTTACTTAGTCCAAGCAATCATGGAAATAAGTCGAAGTGATCAACCATACGTAGTACTACGTAATTTATAAAAGTTGAAGCTTGAATGTTACAATTTAAACAGTTGCACACTTGCACCATACTCAAGCACCGAGCCCAAACATGACTATCTTTTTTAGATAGAGGTATTTTGCAATAATAATAACATTAAGTTATTAATAATGATGAATTGATAGTGAATTATTTGACCTTGATTCTCGATCTGGCACAAAGAATTGATGTACATATCATATACGATAAGCCCTCATCATACAAAATTATCAAAGAAATTCACTCTTCTATTATCTATTTTAAATTGTGAAGCAAGAGCATATATAGTTAAGGATGGCAATGGGGGCGGGGACCCGTGGGGAACCGCCCCGCGGGGACAGATGGGGTGGGGCTTGGGGCGGGGTGGGGGTAGGGATGAGTAAGATATTTTTACGCCGTTAAAATATGGGGCGGGGAACGGCTATTGCTACACCCGCCCCGTCCCCGCCCCGTCCCCGTTATAAATATATACTCAAACATATATATACATATATAAATAATGTACACGCATATTAAATTAAGTTATATGTAGTATATAATTAAGAAACGCACTACATATATATAGACATACATATAATGGAGATGTGTTCCGCCAAAAACGGCATTTGAGAGCTAGGATTCAAGGGATTCAAAACTCTCGAAACTATTCTAATTCACATTCAGAACAACTCCTAGAATGTTCTTTGGAAGAGGAATACAATACTATTTTGGATAAAGAAGAGATGATTTGGTTCCAGAAAGCTCGGGTGGATTGGATTCGGGGAGGTGATCGCAATACTAGTTATTTCCATAGGTCAGCCATGATACGCAGGAACAGGAATTCTGTTGGGCGCCTTAAAATCAATGACACCTGGACAACTAACCAAGTGCAGATGGCTAATCATATCAAAGAGTACTTCACCAATTTATTTGGAAATTCCAGGAGTTATGAGATTCATCAAATGAATGGTTTGGAGTGTCCAAAAATATCAGGGGAGCATAAAATTAATTTGATGAAAGCGGCTGATATAGAAGAAGTAAAGACCACAGTCTTTAGTTTGAAAAGTTTCAGCAGTCCAGGTCCGGATGGTTTGCAAGCAATTGTGTACAAGAAATATTGGGACATAGTTGGACATACCATTACACATTTTGTTAATGGTGCTCTTCGCACGGGTTACATCCCACCCCAGATCCTTAAAGCTAATATGGTTCTTATCCCAAAAGTTGATGCTCCAGAGGTGGCTAGTCAGTTTAGACCCATCACTTTACTCAACGTCATATATAAGGTGATCTCTAAACTCCTAGTTAATCGTATGAGGCAGTGGATTGGAAACATTATTGGCCCATTTCAGAATAGTTTTGTTCCGGGCAGGAGTACGATAGATAATATTCTTATCACCCAAGAGATAGTGCACTCTCTTGAATCCAAAAAGGGTCGGAAAGGCGATATGATTATGAAATTGGATCTACAGAAAGCATATGATTGTTTGAGTTGGGATTTCGTAGATAAGACCTTGATAGACTTCGGCTTCCCCATGGAATTTAACAGACTTGTTATGAATTCAATAAGAGAAATGAAGATTGGGATCATCTGGAATGGGAATGTCCTGGAGGAAATTCAGCCACGTAGAGGTCTTAGGCAAGGAGACCCCCTCTCTTCTTACCTTTTCATTTTAGCTATGGAGCGACTCTCTCATTTCATTAGCAAGGAGGTCAATGCTAAGAGATGGAAGCCAGTAAAGGTGGGTAGGCCGGGAGTAAGCATTTCCCATCTCTTTTTTGCAGACGATTTGATGCTTTTTGGTGTTGCCTCTACCAATCAAATTGAAACCATGATGCAAACTCTACAGATGTTCTCAATGGGTTCGGGTCTGGAAATCAATAAGGATAAATCAAGAGTTTATTTCTCTCCTAATCTTGATGGGGGTTTAAAAAGTACTCTTAATCATATGTCTGGTATTCAGTCTACTACGGATCTCGGGAAGTATTTAGGCGCTCCTATAATCCATGGGCGGAAGTCTAAGGATAAATTTGCCTTTATTCTTGATCGGGTGAAACAGAGGTTGGCAGCATGGAAAGAGAAATTATTAAATCTGGCCGGCAGGAAAACGTTGATCCAATCAGTGACTACGGCTATCCCACAATATGTTATGCAAACCTCTTTGCTCCCGTTAAGCATATGTGATAGGCTTGATCAACTCAACAGAGATTTCCTATGGGGTCATAATGAAGGAACCCGTAAAATTCATCTTGTCAATTGGGAGGATGTTTGTAAACCAAAGGATTCGGGTGGTTTGGGTCTCCGGAAAGCTCGGGATAATAATTTGGCTCTAATAGCTAAACTGGGTTGGGAAATCGTGATGGGAACTCAAAAGCTTTGGGTTCAGATTATGAAGGCAAAATATGTTAAAAACTTGTCTTTCTGGGAAATAGAAAAGGAAAGCAGATTCCTCTCACATTTGGCGGGATATTTTACGTAGCAAGGACATCATTCGTAATGGGCTCGGATGGCAGGTGGGAGACGGGAAAGAGATCTCCTTTTGGTTCGATATTTGGGTGAAAGATAAACCCCTCCATGAAGAACTTGATTCCCCGTTAGCGGCTTCTGCACGACAGGTCAAAGTGGCTGATTTTTTACTGAGCAACCGAGATTGGGATATCTCAAAACTGGAGACATTACTCCCTGAGGAAGTCGTAGAGGAGGTGAGAGCAGTCCCTATCCCGACGGGAAGTGATTACCCAGATGAAATGTATTGGAGATCTTCATCAACAGGTGAATTTTCTGTAAAATCTGCTTATGATTCGTTAGCTTTGTCACAGGTGAATGAAGATTGGAGCTGGTTATGGAAGATACGCACGTCCGAGAAAGTACGATGTTTTCTTTGGCTTGTGATGAAAAATAAACTGCTCACCAATGCAGAAAGAGGTAAACGACACATCACTGAAGATACTTCTTGTAATCTTTGTAACAACGAGGAGGAAACAGTGCTCCATATCCTCCGAGACTGCCCTTTTGCCATGGCAGTTTGGAGGAAAAGCGGGTTGGGCTTGCCGAGAATCGGAGATATGAGTCCAACCAGTCTCGAGTGGGTCCATAGCCACTGTAAAGCTGCAGGAGACACTTCGGGTAGAACACCTCATGCTTCCAGGTTTGCATATACAGCTTGGTTGGTTTGGAAGTCAAGAAATTCTTGGATCTTTGAGGGAAAGAAGCCTGATGTGGATCGGACAGTTAGGAAGGCACACCTTTTAGCTGAGGAATACACTAATATAACCATTCTCAATAGTATCAAGCAACAGAAGGAGGCTAAAATTGTTAAGTGGATTCCCCCAGAATCGGGATTCTTCAAGCTAAATTGTGATGGGTCTAGCCGAGGAAGGAGAAAGGGAGCCGGGGCAGGTGGACTAATACGCAACCACAAAGGTGAATGGGTGAGTGGCTTTATACTAAATATTGGAAAGACCGGAATGTTTTAAATCAGAGCTTTGGGCTCTAAGACAGGGTTTATTGTTAGCTTGTGATCTCGATATAAATAAAGTTATTGTGGAAGTTGATTCTGAAAGTATGCTAAAAGTTGTTAAGAAGAAAAATAGTCTCACCAACAGAATAGGGGTGTTGGTTCGGGATTGTCAAAAGCTTCTTGCAGATGAAAGATTTATCAAATTTCAACACACTTTTCGCGAAGGAAATAATTGTGCAGATTCACTAGCTAATGCCGCTCACGAGTCAGCAAAGGGTCTCTTAATACTCCACGAACCACCTGTCTGGATTAAGAGTTTACTTCAGGAGGATGCTAATGGTTTTGAGCGTATTAGATATTAATGTATTTCTGTTTTTTCACTTCCGGTGTAACCAAAAAAAATACATAATGGTATACTGTTTAATCATGGTTAATGAATTAATACATATTATACTATAATAATAATAGCTAGTAATGATTAAAAATATTTATCATAAATGTTATATGAGTTTTAAGAGTGAGAAAGTGAGTAAATAAATAAACACACATTTATATGTAATATAATATGTAATTAATTGTATTATAATTGTTGAGAATTTGGACATAACGTACATGATGATAATATGTTTACTTATATTTTTACTTTAATTGTCTTCAATTCACAAAACCTATTCAAATTGAAGAATTATTAAAATTGTAGGTATTTATTTTTAACAAACGCAATACTTCAGTGTTGTGCGTAGATATATTATATAGGTTTAGGATCAAATGAGAACAATGCTTAACATGATAACGTGCGAACACCACATTTACCCCCGATGTGAAGCACAATGGACTCGCACAATGTACTTTTTCGTATCTAGCGCAATATTTACAAAAGTGTCATCGTGAAAAGTACAGAAAACGTACATGTGGTTTGGGCCATTTTCAGATAGGGGCATGTGTTTCATTTTCTAACAAAGTGGGGCATGTGTGTCAATTCTGTTATCATAGCAAGTGCATGACGTCTAATGCCGTAAGAAAAATTAACTCCGATTTTAAAAAGACTCCGAAAAATTAAAAGAAAAATACTGGGAGGTGCGCCTCTTCAAGGAGATCAACAAACTATCGTTCTCTTTGGATTTTCGGCTCTATTTGGATTACTTTTAAAAAACAAATTCGTTAATATCACTTTTCTGGTGGACTTTCTAGAGATATGGTGGCTGGAAAAAAATAAATAAATAAATATAGTTTGTTGATCTCCTTGGCGAGGCGCACCTCCCAGTATTGTTCTTTTAATTTTTCGGAGACTTTTTAAAATCGGGGCTAATTTTTCTAACGACGTTAGACGCTATGCCCTTGCTATGATAACGGAATTGAAACACATGCCTCACTTTGTTAGAAAATGAAACACATGCCCCTATCTGAAAATGGCCCAAACCACATGTACGTTTTCTGTACTTTTCCCTTATTTATATTAGCTTGTATTGAGCAAAGTCCAAATGTGCACGAGAATATATGGCTCTATTGTGTATCACATTGGATTAAATGTGAGTTTTCCCACATTAAGCATCGTTCTCATTAAAAGTGCACTACATATATTTATAATAAGAGATTAAAAGTATATGAAAACACGATAAATTAAATCTATATGGGGGCACCCGTGGAGGACAACGGGGTGGGACGGGGATGGGGCGGGTCTGGGAGTAACGGGGGATGGGGGTAACTTTTTAAACATGGGGCGGGGGATGGGGGAGTGTACCCCCGCCCCAAACCCGCCCCATTGCCATCCCTATATATAGTACTCCTTCCGTCCTCGAAAGAAGTTCCCCATTTGATTTTCACATAGTTTTATGCAAGTAAACTTACCAGGGGGTAAATTTCCATGTTTTGATACTGTTTCGACACTGTTTGGCACTGTTTCGACACTGTTTGACACTGTTTGGCACTGTTTGGCACTGTTTTGATGTAGATAACTTTCCATTTAAGGAAATGAGAACTTAAATTAGGGACATCTAAATTAGGAAAGTGGGAACTTCTTTCAGAGACGGAGGGAGTATTATAGTTACTGGCACTACAACTTACTTCAATAGTAATATGTTGGTGATGGATGTCTTAGAGGGTGGTTGAATCTGATTCTGAAAACTGCTTCTGATCCTCCATGGAGCAGAAATAGAAGTTGGAGTGTTTGGGTGAAAGTGCAAAAGTACTTCTGATGCCTTAATTTATTCTTAGAATTAGTTTTTTTTAGAATAAGTTGACAGACAACGGGTGGTGGTACGGAACCAAGAATGCCCTCACCCGATGGAAAACCTGCAAAGCTAGCGTGAGAATCATATATAAAATAGGGATTAATATTTAAATTTGACAAAACCAAATTACTTGCAGAACCTGAAGTGTGCGGACGTGGAGAAAATAGCTGAGACGGAACCGGCCCCTGTTGACCAAAGCCGGTACTAGGCTGCCCCTGCTGACCGGGAAACAACTGCTGGGGTGCTGTCCGTCGCTGCTGGCCAAAGTCGTACCCCTGCTGCCCTGGGTACGATTGTTGCTGCTGTGGGGTACCATAGTGAAACGGGGAACCCCTGCCTCGGCCGCGACCAGTCCTTCCGCGACCACCTCTTCCGCGGCCTCCCCTGCCGCGGTTGGGGTATCCCCCTGGTTGCTGTCCAGCCGCTGCAGCAACAATGAAGGCCTGGTGACCGGATGCAGATTGTTCTTGGCGCTCGGAGAGTACCCGCTGCTCTTCTTCCATGAGACGTGGTTGTAAGATATCAAAGGGAAAATTTTCGGGAAAGAGAGAGACAGTAGTGACAAGAGAGCGGTACTCCGGTCCCAATCCGGCCAGAACGGATTGAAGAAGCTCTTTGTCCAAGACATGGGAATTAATTGCAGCAAGAGGGTCAACAACACTCTTGATTTCTCTCAAATAATTTTCCATAGACTGAGTTTCTTTCTTCTTTATGGTGGACAACAATCGTTTAAGTTCCATGCATCGAGGTAGACTAGAAGACATAAATCTAGTCTGAAGTCTAGCCCAGATTGCAGCAAAATGTTTTAAATCATGAACATCTACTAACACATCCCGAGTTAAAGTAGCAAACAACCAACAACGAATTGTTTGATCAACACGCAACCAATAATAATACTCGGAATTGGGAACTTGACGATTTGCAAAATCAACAGTGTACATAGGAGGTACCTGAATGGAGCCGTCAACGATGCCAAACAAGCCTTGAGATACCAAGAATGATTCGAACTGGGTGCGCCAAGTGAGATAATCTTCTACGGCCTTCAATTTGATGGTGACAATTTGAGAGACCGTGGTAATATGAGATACCGACTGAGCAAGTGTCGACATCGGGGACCCAAACCCCGGCTGATCAACTGGCCGAACAACACCAGGAGACCCGGAGAACGTAGACCCGAAAAATGACGATGCAGGCAGATGTGGGCCGGAAACGGTCTGCGGCTGCTGGACTGATGGCTGCGGCTGCTGAGAGAAAGGCGGCGGAATTGGGGTTTGGTAAGTCGGTTGCTGCCAGGAAAATTGTTGCACCAATGGTTGCTGGAACAAGGGGTATGGTTCAGCCGAAGAAAGATTTGGTGGTGGAGGAAAAGTTGTGAACAGTGTGGATGATGTCTGCGTCATAACTGGCGAACCAATTGCGCGAGAACCAGAAGCCATAGGTATCAGCGTGGAAAATCCAAACTGGTGCTGAGGTCTGAGAGGAGTAGAAGATGACGCCGGCGCCATGGAAGAGACTGCTGCGGCGGCCGAGCTTATGGCGGAGGAGACCATAGCTGCGGACGAAACTGCTAGAGAAGAATTAGCAGTGGAGTCGGCCGAACTCATGGAGGCGGCGTGAAACGTGAATAGAGGAGAGAAAAAAAATATTAGGTCTGGGCTCTTGATACCATGTGAAATAATGGGAAGCCTAGCTCCAATGGGAACCCTAGCAGGTATATTTATAATAAATAAGAGTTGCCAAAATACACGAATTTTCCTAACTTATATAAACTATTAGTTATGTGAGACTCGTTTCTGAAAACTGATTTTATTTTAGAAAACAAGCAAAAGCAGAAACGGTTTAAAGTAATCTCTATTAGAGTTACGTTGTAAAACGTGCTACACGGTGTGGTATCTTGGTAGAATGTCAATGCTGATATCTCAAGAACCTACAAATTAAATGTGCTTAATTACCTAAAAGAATAGAAGTCCTTCTGTGTGTGGTTATCAATGTAAGAGTGAAAAATAATGACATACACATTTCAGCCAATTATTATCACAATTGACAAGAACATCTTGTGTTGAGTTTAGTAGGGTGTTGGGTGATATTGTGATTATTAAGAAAAATATCACTCTCAGATTAGAAAGAAGGTCCACTATTATTAAAGTAATCTATTTATAGTGCACAACAAGAACATTTGGTTGAATTATTTGTTAATCCCTTCATACCGCAAGGTAAGATACGTACATTTAGATTTGACAAGAGTTTTAAGAGAATAAATGATATAATTGTTGTTTCAAAATTCTAGCTATAAAAGAAAAAGAATGTCTAAATCGATCTAGATTTAGTAGAAAAGTGTATCGACCGCTAAAAAGATGAAATGAAAAAGTAACTAAGGAGGTTTTGTTTTGGACTGTTTTCAGTCTCAGACCAGACCAGATCAGATCAGACCAGACCAGAACAGACCAGACTTCCGTAGTTATAAAATACACAGAGACCAGACGTTTACCAGACCAGACCAGACCAGATCGGACCAGACCGGACCAGACCAGCAAATTTCAGTCCAAAAGAAAACATCCTAACTTAGTTTTCATATTTTCAGGAAAACACAAAAAATAAAGTGTAGCTTAAAACTTGGAATGAGGGGAGATTCCAATGGTTAACAAGCCAAGTAGAAATTTCATTTGAACTATCCAATGTTTTTGCAACAAATAGAAAAATATGCGTTTATAATTACTTTAGTTTCATAATGTGTACAATATGAATTGCTCCATTAATGTAAGTATAATGCAATTTAGAGTCCGTTTGATAGCACGAAAATCGGATGATTTGGTTGTTCTGCTGAAATTTATGAAGTTCTAGCTGGAGTGACTGTATTGGTTGACTCTGCTGATTCTTGAAAAAATATATTTAAAATATTTGTTATTAATAAATAAATAAAATTATATAAAAAATACCTAAAATTATCGTCTACAATCACTTCAGTCAATACAGCTATAAAAGTAACTTGAACTTTACTTTTTCTTCTTATTACATAATTCAGCGCGTGAAATCAAAAGTTACGTGTTTGGTGAAAAATCTGACTGATAAGATGAAAAAGGGGTTAATAAATGGGCAGTTAGGGTTTGTTTGCAAACACTAAAAAAGCGCTTTCCAACTTTTGACTTGAAAAGCTAAAAAGAGTGTTTTCAAGTAATAACTTCTACTTAAATTAACATTTAAAAGCTAAAAGTTAGAATATGTTTTGTACTTTTTCTATTACACAAAAAGCACTTATATATTTTACCAAACACTACTAACTTTTATTTTTCAAAATCATTTTTTTCTCAAACACAACTAACTTTTACAATTAATCACTTTTTCCCAAATCACTTAAAAAGGTACAAAAGTGCTTATGAGTAGTGTTTGCAAACAAACCCTTACTGTCATACTACCACAATAAAGTTGGAATTTTCACAAATGGAAAGTGTGTGATATTTGAATAGTGATAGGAGATATAAATTATTGAGTGTACGATGAGAAGATAATAAAATAATGTGGTGGAATGAAGGATAAATCCAAAAAAAATATGTAATATTCTATTATTTTTAAAATTATTGAGGGTATGATAAGAATATTTAGAAATGATAAGATTATTTAAGGAGGGAAATCATAAAGAATTTAATTTGGAGCGTTAGATTTGAGAATTGCTCATTATGTCAAATAGAAATGTGCACTACCATAGTACCATTAATGAGAAAATGAGGTGACATTTTTGTAAATAAGCTCTACATTTTTTCCTATTTGAAGTGTGCATTATTTTAAGTTTATGTCTTCACCTCCATTAATTATGATGTGCATCATTTTGGATTATTTTCATTTCTCACAGGAAAAAGTGTTCTCATTGGAACCGGACTCTATATGTACGTTACAATAATTATTTTAAAGATTTTTTGTCAAGTATATTTTTTTAAAATTGATCTGCAGGACAGCCTTTAAAAACTACTCCCTCCGTCCCAGGGAGAAGTTCCCGAGTTGACTTTCACACATATTAAGGAAATAAAGTTACTGAGGGTAAATTTTACTGTTGGGCACTGTTTCGACACTGTTTGGCACTGTTTCGGCACTGTTTGGCACTGTTTTGCACTGTTTGGCACTGTTTTTATGTAGGATAACTTTCCATTTAGGGAAATGGGAACTTTTTGTTGGGACTGCCGAAAAAGGAAATTGGGAACTTCTCCCTGGGACGGAGGTAGTACATATTAGAAGACATGAGATATTTGGGAGAAGAAGAAGACATGAGATATGATTGTTGAAACTCTGGCGCAACATTAGACAGGTAGGCCAATCTAAGCCATTAAAACCATAACCCAGCACAGATTGGCTAAGATCAGGAGTGTTCACCAGTTTTGATAGTTTGAAATATAGAGCCCGTTTGGTAGCACCAAAATCGGCTGTTTTGGCTGATTCTGCTGAAATTTATGATATTCTGGCTGGAGTGGCTGTTTTGGCTGATTCTGCTGATTTAAGAAAAAAAAAATTTAAAAATATATTTTATGAATAAATTAAAGAAAAAATTATATGTAAAAATAGCTAAAATGGTCCTCTACAGTAACTTCAGCCAATACAGCCAGAAAAGTAACTCCAACCTTACTTTTTCGGCTTATTACACAATTCAGCGCGCGAAAGTAAAAGTTACGTGTTTGGTGAAAAAGCTGGCTGATAAGCCTGATAAGCCGAAAACAGAGTTCTCCAAACGGGCTCATAATATACTACCTCCGTCCCACTATGTTTGGGACGAGAGATGATGACACGGTTATTAATAAAAGTGGATTTATGTGGTTGATGTTGAATTGATAAAGTAAGAATAAAGTAGGAATGATTTAGAATCACACAAACTTTACCAAATAAGGTATGAGACAATCTTAGTGGGACGGACCGAAAAGGTAAAATGGGACAATCATAGCGGGACGGAGGGAGTAGAAATCAACTTATTAAGCATACAATACTTTATAAGTTTACTTAAAAATATTATTAAAAAAAATAGTATACCAATATTTGATTCTGTGACATGACTTATCAATAAGAACTCATTGTACAAAAAGGATACAATTAGAACTGTGCACCCGTGTATAAGATACGTGCTTAAATTTTTTGTAGAACTATAGGGGTAATGAATTGTATGTAAATTCGTCAATCAAAATCTAAAAGAGAACTCAATTGACTATATATACAACTGTCAAAATGAGTCGAAATCCATAAGGTTAGCTCGTTTCATCGTGGGTTAGAGTTGTTGCTACCAGAAATCAGAATATGAGGTGACATTTTTGTAAATAAATGTTACGTTCTCTGCCCATTTAAATAGCGAATTCTTTTAATTATACATGTGCACCTCCATTAATCATGATATATGCATATATCATTTCAGATCATTCTCATTTCTTATGCGAAGAAGTGTTCTCAGTGAAATCAGACCCTATATATTTTCAGAGTAATTATTTTCAAGATCTATTATCATGTATATGTTTTTTTTTTATTGATCCGTAGTGCAACCTTCAAAAATCCACAAACAAGAAGAGTTGAGATATGGTTGTAGAAATTGTGGCTCACCAATAGACAGCCGGGTCGATTCAAGCCATGAAAAACATAACACACAACAAATTGGGTAAGATCGAGGAGTGTTGACCCATTTCACAGCTTGAAGTATAAAATGCGAGTGAGGTAGAAATGAATATGAGACAAAAGAACGAATCTACCTTTACATATTGATATGACCTTGTGAATTAATAAATAGATGTTTAATACCACATTCATCCCATTAACATCAGGACATGTGTGGTTATTGAAAAAAAGTTATATGATTAATGTTTAATTCAAAAAATAGGGGCATAGTAAGACTTATATAGAACTACACAAATATTACAACATTTGGAGCTACACAAATTTAATAAAATGATAAAAAAAATGTGGAAGAAGATCAATGAGAAGAAGAGAGTAATAATTTTAATATTTTGAAAAAAAAAACAATTTCTAAACATTTGAATAAGAAAGCATCCACAAGAGTTTGTTGGAAACGAACTGAGAGAGAAATATTTTTAATTTTAAGAGGTTAAAATTGTTGTCTACTTTTTATTTTTGAATATTTGCAACTTTATACTTAAATTTATACACAATATTGTGATACATAAATACACATATACTCTATACACTTCATTTTTGATGTATTATGAATATATTTTTTGAAAAATATTGTTAAACTCTTCTCGTTTTAAATTTTCAAAATCCATTTTTTATAATTTTTTTTACTTATAAAAAATGAAAGATATTAATGATCAAATTTGTGCACTGTCAAATGTGTAAAATGGATCTTTGCCACATGTCATTTTATCCACAAAAATGTTGTCAGTTGTCACATAATTTTTCCAAAGAGTTCATCATATGTTTGATTTATTATAGTACGGACTACAGAGTATTATATAGATATAGATACGATCATTACAAGAATATACGAAGAATGATACATATACGGAGTAGTAAATCATATTTTATCGTAATAATCTTTAATTTACATTACCCATCAGAGATGAATGCGATATTTATGAAACAGACATTCACTTGCCGGAAGCGTCCATTGTACAATCGGCTGTACGGTGCTCACCGTACAGCCGGTGGCATTTTTGTAATATAATGTAAAAATTGTGGTTTCTGCTAAGTGATCATTCGTGTACGGTTAATGAGCAAGAATCCAATGTTAATGAGTATTAGGAGTCTAATAATGAACGCCGTGTTATTAAAAGAAAGCTGATATCACAATTAAAAAAACGGTGGCATTTTTGTAAACTACATGAAATTCGCGTCTTGTACTAAATGAGCATTAAAACACGTCTAGTGAGCATGTGACATATTTTGCTGAGCATTACACACATAACAATGAGCATCATGATCTCTGCTTCACCTCTTCTAATTTACTTTCTTTTCCTTATTTTTTCTAAAGTTTTGAAATATGCATTGTTATACCATTTTACAAATGAGCATAACATGAATAGCCGTTGAGCTTACATAACTTATAAAGTGAGAATTAGTATTTAACATGTGCAACCTTTTAAAATGAGCATAAAACAGTAATAAATGAGTATACATAACTTACATAACGAGTATCAAAATATTAAAAAACTAAATGAGCATGTGTAACTTACTAAATGAGCATTGATATGAAACTCATAAGTTTTTTGTTGGGCATCAAGAGAATTTTGTTGAGCATCAAAGTTTCTATATTGAGTATTAGAAACATCCAATTAAATATCATGGTCCGTGATACAATATCTATAATCAACTCCTACATGAATCTAATGTAATATGATACTTTTGAAATATGCATTGACACAACATTTTAAAGTGAGCATAACTTCAGTATCAAATGAGCATAGATAATTTATAAAATGAGTATCGGAAAAATCAAATGAGCGGATATAATTTACAAAATGAATATAAAAAATTCAAAAAAGCTCATTTAAAATTTTTAATGTACTCAAATATTCATCTATATATGCTCATTTCTTTTTAAACGAAAAGGAATAAGATCTGGACCTATTAGACATAACCTTAGTGATTTTCAATTCTAATTCAATCGACTATACAATGTTTTTTTTAAGGCTGAGATGCTAAAATACAATTTTAGTAATCATGAAAGATAAATAACCCTCATAAATTTTAAGGTCCCACAACTGCAGCTTTGGGATTGCAGCTTCTTCAACATTCAGAAGTGCTCGACGCTGCTCCAAGTTTCCAGCTATCCTACCGTTGTTTCGGATACTGTCAACCGCCTATGGGAAAGCTGAAAATGAAGGACCAAGGAGAATTGGAGGGGACGATGGATGTGAAGGACTGAACACGACGGGAAATTGGTTGGAGAGAAGAGGTGGTCGCCGGAGAATTTGGCAGGGAGGAGTGGAGGCCGACAGATCCAATAATATAATCCAGCTTGAAGTTGAACTTAATTTCAAAAATACCCGGCTGTACGATGAGCACCGTACAGCCGGTTGTACGGTATAATTTACCTTCACTTGCCCAAAACATCAACAGCTCAGACTCGCTTCAACAACAGCTAATTATCTAACCAAACTCTAATCATCCCCCTAACTCTAATTAATCATCACCTCGAATAGCTACTACTACCACCTACTAATTGACAACAAAAATAGCGATTAACAGGACGAATTCGAGGATAAAATCGTGGAGGAGGAAGTCCTCGGAGACGCCGCCGTCGTGGCGGCTTGTTTCAGGACCACCGCCGGCAAAACGCTCGTGCTTCTCCGGTCTTGCTCACTCACCAATTCAGAAGCGAAATTGTCCAGTTTTTCCAGATTTGAAGCTTGGGCCAACTTCTTGCCTTGGAATAAGACCGATTCCACACTCTTCTGGTTCAGCATTTCGTCTGCCATGGCCGATTCCGATTCCGATTTCCGGTCTTTCTTCTTCTTCCCGAAATGCCCCTGGCCTTGAATACGAATGTAGTTGCTTTTACTGCCGGACTGGGAAAATGCCATTGATACTGCCTGGTCCACCTGTCCATTCCAATACATAATTAATTATAATCGCTTTTTAAATTGATTAAATCTTTGTAGTTTCTGCAAACATTCCAGAGGTGCATTGAATATGGATTTTAATGGTAAAAAAGAAAAGAACACGTTTCACGGGATTACGATTCTGGGTAAAATAGGTAAAAAGGTGAAAAAAAGTGAGTTGATAGAAAAAGAAGAAAATTGGAGCAATACCTTTTTTTTTGGCGAAAAATTGGAGCAATACTAGTAAATGAATACAACAAGAAGATTACAAAAGCTTTTACGGTGACAAAAAGTGAGTCAGGCTGTAAAATACTCCGTATATATTTTCTCTATCTTGAATTATCTTCAATCTCAATTTTTTTAACTGTTCCAAAATACATTTAGTTCTCTCTATATCTTGAATTACATTCAATTCACACTAATTCTTACTCCCTCCGTCCCTAATTTATCTTCCAAATAGGTTTGACACACAGTTTAAGATAGTGAGTATTGTGTGGTGGAGAGTTGTGCAAAGGAGAGAAAAATGTGTAAGAATTGATGTGAAAAAGGGAAAGTGGAAGTTTTAATTGGAACGGATGAAAAAGGGAAGTTGGAAGTTTATTTAGGAACGGAGGGAGTATATTTTCTTATGTAAACGCCGGCAAAAATATTGATTATGTATTACTACGTGCAATATCAAAATAAAGACTATATACATTTCTAAAAATGAATTTAATTTTAGTAATAATTTGATAAAAAGTTTTACAAAAAGCTTAATAATACTCCGCCGAACACATATAAAGAAACTACTCTTGATTTTTTTTTATCGTAAGAAACTACTCTTAATTAAAACAAACAAAATACACGATTAGTGTATTTATATTTTATTACCAAAATATAACTTACTCGGGGGTATTTGATTTTATTAAAAGTATACTAGCTTCCTCTATTAGAAATGAATAAGTCATACGGAGTACTTTAAAAAGAAAAAACTACTACGTATTATCTAATTTTTACACCTAATATATCGTTTAGTCATAGTGAAAAGTCTTTTTACACTTGTTCCATGAGATGTATAACAAAATAAGCTCAACAAATATGTAGCAATAGTTTAGTTAATCCGCTAAAAATGGGTTCTCACTATATTAATGTCCAGATTAGTGTCCAGATTTCTATATTAATAAAAAGGCAATTTGTTTTGAAAGGAAAATGTTTTATTCTCACAAAAATCAATTTATTTCTAACTTAAGTACAATAAAAACTTTGATTAGGCAAAGGGTATACCATGTCTGAAACTCCACATCCAACAATCTTAACGAATGATGACGGCGACAGATTGACGGTGCCGGAGTCCGACTCTCCGTTTCCCAAAGACACCACCAGCAAATCATTGACGCCGACGGAGAAAGGAAACTCCTGCTTATTGTTGAGCACGTGAGTGATGGCGGCCGCCGTCGGGTTATTCATGGCCACGTCACCGCCCACGGCGGTCGTTCTCGTCCGGCCGTCCACCGACTTAAGCTCAAACCCGCGGTGAGCCACGGTGGCGCCGCAAACATCCGCCATAAAAAAGTCGCAGGTGTCCATTTCAATCGCGTCGGCGCGTGAGAACAGGAACGGAGCTCCGGTGGTGAGGTCGTAGCAGGGGATGAGAACAGATTTCAGGGTATCTTTCAGCGTTGACTCGCCGAAGACTTTCTTGAACTGCTTCGACGGCTTCAACGCTCGCCGGAAAACCCCGCTCTGCTCCGGCTGCGAAATCCTCCGCCCATTTTTCAATACAAATCTGAGAGCTTCCCCGGCAGTGAACAACGGGGACTCGTCTTTTCCTCTGGTGAACAGGAAACCGGCGAGGACCCCGCCGACGCCGGAGCCGGCGACGACGTCAAAGAAATCGGCAATGTGGGCATTCGGGTTTCCAGATTTAGCCCGGAGGGCGGATTCGAGACGGACTAAAGATTTGGCGGCGAGGACACCTCCGGTGTATCCAGAGGCATCAACGGAGAGGATCCGGACCTTGCCGGAGCTGGGAAAGGACGACTTCACCGACGGAGCACAACTCCTCTGGTCATCGCACCCGAAAAGAAACTTGTTTTCAAGAATGGAAAATATCTGATTGGTGAGGTTGTCAGAGTCAAAGGTGGAGTCAAGCATGGAAATGGTGGAAACGGCCGCCATTGTAGTAAGGAGAAGAAGAGAGTAGATGAGTTGATGAGATACAGAGCTTTTTGTGGGTGTGAATATATAGAGGGGAAGGTGTAGGCAGGCAACCGTGCGGGTTAATTGAAGGTGTGGGGCAGGGGGTGGACTGGTAGAGTCTAAATAGGCTTAGACTGAACATTCCTGGGCATTGCAATGGAAAGGTGGCTTTCAAATGGTGCGGCTGGACTTGAGGTGTTAGGGCCACAGAGTAGGGCAGAGCACGGGTCGGGTTCGGGCGGGTCGGGTTCAAAAATGGTAAACCCGTTCGGGTATCAGATTGATAATTTCAAACCCTACCCGATCAAAAAATTTATCGGGGTTTTCGGGTTGAAGAAGTTCGGGTTTCGGTCGGGTTGGTTCGGTTTTCGGGTGGGTCCATTCGGATTTTATTTATTATTGTTGAAATTGTGATAAATAAAATGGTAATTGGTAAAAATATCATTCAAAGTTATACTAGTATATCATTCAAATTAATAGTTGTATAAATACGGTAATCGACATTTTTTTTTATACCTCGGAAGGCAAACCACCTAAGTCGGTGGAGTAAATGCCGAGGGTCATTTACTAGATTTTATTAGAGCTTCCAAGACTAGATTTTATACGGTAATCGACATATTTGAACTAGGGGTGGGAAAAACCGAACCGAAACCCGGAAACCGACCCTGGACCGACCCGAATTATGATCCCGGTCCGGGTTTTTTCTTTTTAACCAGCCCGAATTTAAAAAAACCCGGACCGAACCGAAAATTCCGGGCTCATTAACGGGCCTTAAAATCTATAACCCGGCCCGGACCGAAAAAACCCGAAACAATTACTTTTAATATAAAATTAATATAGTATATGAATATAAATAAAATATTTCCTAATATATGATTATAATCACGGTGGATAAAAAAAGATTTAGTAACTTTTAGTGACTACAAATATGTTGAATTTGTTTAGCGTAATGATGACCATGAGAATATATTTATAGCAACTCTAGTAACTTTTTGATTTATAAAATTTATTTCGTAATATTTTTAAAAAACCTATATTATTTATATATATTCATCTTACATAAAATATTAAGATAATTATCTTCTTTAAATTTGAATTGTTGGTGATTTTGGAGACTAAAATTTGTGTTATTATTTGCGGTTTGTATTTTTGATTAATTTTATTTGAAAATACGTGTTAAAATATAAAACAATGACATATTTCACGGCCGGGCTTTAACCGGTCCAACCCGAACCCGGACCGAACCCGGGCTACCAAAAACCCGACTCGGACCGAATATAATGGGCTTTGTTCCGGTCCCTAATTTTCATAACCCGAGACCTTCCGGGTAATTTCCGGGTTTAGCAAAAACCCGACCCAGACCGGACCGATCCCACCCCTAATTTGAACATGTAAAATAATAATATATGGTGATTGATATATTTGATATTGTGATAAATAAAATGATAATTGGTGAAAATATCATTCAAAATCATAACAATACAACATTCAAAGTTATAGTTTTACAAATATGACAATTGGAATATTTGAGTATACATAATATGGTAATTGGCATACAATACTTGAGATATTTGAACATGCATAATAATTCAAAGTAGTATATATACTACCCTAATTCGGGTTTTCGGGCGGGTCGGGTAGCATAATTGGTAACCCTACCCGCTACCCGCTTAACTCTCGGGTTGCAAAAATCGGATCGAGTTTGGGTCATTCGGGTCGGGTTATCCGACCAATAAAAATAAAATCGGATATATCCGATCGGGTCAATCGGGTAGGGTCGGGTTTGCTCTCCCCTACCTATGAGGTGTTACCTTGGATTTTAGATAGACCCAACAAACTCTAATTACTTTAAAACTAATCAAATTAGTATAGTCATCATCAAATATTTTGCCTCACTATGTCACACTTGAGATGTTTTCTGTTTGGACTGATATTTACTGATCTACTTTGATTTGATCTGATCTGGTATAGTATGGTATGGTCTGAACTGGTATGGTAGACGTTTGGTCTCTGTGTATTTTACAACTATGGAAGTCTGGTCTGGTCTGGTGTGGTCTGGCCTGATTTGATCTGATATGGTCTGATCTGAAACTGAAAACAGTCGAAAAGAAAACATCCTTAGAACAAATTTTGGGCATTACTGGTTTGAATAGGGGGTTCTAACATTAATATTACTAAAAAAAAGTAGATGCTAGATAAATGCTACTAATAAGCATTACTCAGTGAAACGACTCAAGGCAGTTTACCATCACCATCAGCCACAATGACCAATGTCGTTAGATGCAGTGACCACCGCTCACACACCACTCAGTGACCACCGCCCAAGTGGCCATACCTTAGTAATTAACCACGCTTCTACGGCTAGGAAGCACGGAAACTCTCCGTGGCTCACGTTTCCATGTTTCGGAAACTCGGAAACTTCAAATTCCCGTTTCGGGGCTGTTTCCGTGATTAAGAAAAATTTGGAAACCCGTTTCACTACGTTTCGGAAACCTTGGATTCCAATTTTTTTTCTTTTTCAAAAGATTATGTGGTGGAAAATAATTTTTTATAGTGAATTTTTGTGGTATTTCTCAGCGGCAACACTTGTTACATTTTGTAACGCAATGTATTGCTAGAAATGTATTACTCCGTACATTTTATGTTTAATTATTTACTAATATGAAATAATATCTAAATTCGAACATGTAGAGTGATTTTATTATTTGGTTACTAAACAAATTATATTAAAAAAACATGTGCATATGGAAAAACTTGTATATATATTAAAAAATATTTATAAATATATCCTTATATTTTATAATATTTACGCGTTTCCCCCACGTTTCGTGTCCTATATTTTTTAGAAATTACGTTTCTCGCGTTTCTCGTTTCCCGTTTCACGTTTCTCGTTTCCCGTTTCCGTGCTACTTAGTTCTACGGTGAAAGTTACATCATTAAGCCTCAAATGTGACCTATATTTCCCAACCAGTAACAGTATAACACCATAGACCTTTCTCTTCTCACCATTCGTGACACCTCCCCCGCGGACCCAACCTACTACATTCTCCAGACCCAATTTGTCACCACCCCCACCCTTGCCCCCAATCATCATTGCCCCACCCCATCCACCTCCCCAGCTTTGCAACCTTCTCACAAAGCTTATACGGTTATACCATAGCTTTGCAATCGAAACACGCCATTGCCACTCAAATTAGTTGCTCGAACTTCTCTTCTTCGCCGATCAAATTAGTTGCTCGGATTCGCTTATGTTACAAGTGTTCATAGTGTTGGGTGTGTTTCGGAAAATAAAGAAAATTAATTAAAATAAATTAATTAATTAAAATGACGAAAGAAAAACAAGAAAAGAGATGGAGCAGAATTTGTCAAAGCTCGTGCTACGCACGATGTCCTTAAAACGTATTTGTTGCCTCCCTCGGTGCTAGGAGCGTTGCAACAATAGTTTCCCAGGATACGATGACAACGAACTAGTGTTTGAGCACTCAAACAAAAGTTCCAGCGAACGAGAACAAAGACCGAACACAAAGGGAATTTTCCGAATGCTGGAGGGTGTTTTTGAGGTGCAAAACGTGAATGGAGTGTCTAAATTCGTGTGTTGTTGCAAACCACCTGCCAGCCATTATATAGGAGGATTTGTTGTATGAAAATAGTGAATTAACGTACCTGAACGTTGGACATCAATGACCAGTCCGTTGGGCATTGAATTGTCCATGAACTGTCCATTTAACGCTGCATTAAAAGATATAAACGTTGGGCATTTATTGCTGTAACGGTTCAGAAGCCATCAGAAGACCCCTACGTAGTTCTGCCCGAAGGCCATCAGAACTGGAGCAGTTCTGATGCGCGGTCATCAGAACCGGAGCATCTATGCCCGAAGGCCATCAGAACTGGAGCAGTTCTGATGCGCGGTCATCAGAACCGGAGCATCTCTGCCCGAAGACCATCAGAACTGGAGCAATTCTGTCAACCTGGAAAAAATTATACGTTTCGGGAAGAAAACAAAAATTAATTGTATCTCTTGAGAGATAGATTTTTGGACGACATTCGTGTCCGCAGGTCGCCCGCGCACGCAAGTCGCGGTTTTTCTTCTCCGAATTCGGGATTTGATTTGCACCCCCCCTGCGCGCGTGGAGAGAGCCTTTACCCTTAGGAATCTTAACTCCATAAGGGGGGAGTCCCTTTATAAAGGGTTGCAAATCCCTTGGGTTTTCCGGTGTGGGAAATTAACACTAGAAACCCATCCTTTTTCCCCAGTTTTTCCCTTTTAACGGGTAAACTTCGAAAAGCGATTTCTCATTCACCCGTTATCCGTTTTGAGCGTACCATTTATCGAATTGTAGCCCTAAGCAAGGACAATCCGAAACCACTTTGACCCGACCCAAATCGGAAGTGGACCCCACTCAAAAAATTGCCCCAAAATAGCCATTTAATGCAATTTTTCACACATTTTTCCAACACATAGTTGTCGTGCATATGCTATTATTTTTGTATTATGCCATTTGAAGATGGTGTTAAAGCCTTAAATGATGCAATTACTTACCACATACGTAGTACATAGTATAACAATTGAAGTAATAACTCTATTGATTTTGAAATCACATGTCATAATATTATGATTGAACATGCTCTCAAGATCTGTGAATTAAATAAATTTTTTAATCCAATTTGATAAGTTACCGAAAATCGAAAACAGTTAAAGAGCACAAATCTTAACTAGGGAAACAACTCCATGCATCTTTTTAATCATTAGAACCCATTAATACATAGTGTAATTAATCCCAAAGCCATACTGCATCGAGCCATTGAGGTTCGCTCTTTTTGAAGTACAATTATTAATGAATAAATCAATATGCATTTGTGTGATGATTTGAGATTTGGGTGGGTAGTCCGTCATGAGTCAGGGGGCTTTGACTGATACCATTGGCTTCTCAAAAGATTAGCGTTTGACTAATCAATTCTTAGATATTCGATTGTGGAATAAAATTATACTCCGTACTTCGTATTTGTTCGTGCATATTATTATTGTTACTTCCAACTTTATTATCGGACTATTTATACTTTATTC